CCGGAGCATACCGCGATCCATGTGACTATGGAAAAGACCCAACTTCATTGCCTTGGACAACAACAAACTTAGCATTTCACCACAAGGTTAAACAACAAAGGTGATAATGGACACCCTTGTCGTAACCCCCTAGACATCTTAAATTTTTAGTCGGGGAGCCATTAACCAAAACAGATAATAGAAGGTGAATATATGCACTTATGGATCCAAGAACACCACCGCTGTCCGAACCCCATGAATTCCATAACCCGCATAAAAATCAACCAATCTGTTGAGTCATAAGCTCTCCTAAAGTCCACTTTAAAGGCTACACCTCTCAAGCCTTTTCTTCTCCAGAAATCGATCCCTTCATTTGCTACAAAAGAGCAGTCCAAAATCTGCCTCCCTGGTACAAAAGAAAATTGAGCCGGACCGATCAAAGAGTCAATGCAAGACCTCAGTCTTTTCGGCAGTACCTTCGACAGAATTTTGTAGAGACCACCTACTAAACTAATAGGCCGATAGTCATCTAAACACTCCGGGTTCAATTTTTTGGGAATCAACGTTATAAAGGAATGATTAACCTCTTTCTCCCATCTTTTCCCTGAAAAAAAATCTGAAAAAAACTTCATAACTTCATCCTTCAAAGTCGGCCAGAACCTTTTAAAAAACCCCAAATTTAACCCATCCGGTCCCGGTGCCTTGTTGCTGTCTGAGGAAGCAATTGCTTCCCAAATTTCCTCCTCCGAAAAGGACCTTTCCAACATCAATCTCTGCGCTTCCGATAACCTTGCAAAATCAAGATCCATTTTTTCCTCTTCAACAATAGGTTTCCTGTTATAAGAATCCTTGAAAAAATTAAAAATGCTCGCTTTAATCTTATCCGGTTCAGAGATCCAATTACCATTCACTTTCAGAGTCTTCAACATATTTACCCTCCGCCTATTCGCTGCACACTGATGAAAAAACTTGGGAATTACAGTCACCGTCTAAAAACCATTTTTGCCGAGACTTTTGGAACCATATTAATTCCTCTTTTTTGTAAAAGTCCCATAATTCCCTCTTTGCCTTGGCAATGTTAACCCACGAAACATAATTCAGCCCCTATTGTATAACAACCTCCATTTCTCCTATAGCCTTCTCAAGTTCTAGAATCCTTCCCGGCAACAAATTGTCTATTGTTCGACCAATTCTTAATAGCATTCTTCGACTTACACAACATTTGCGCAATCCCTCTCATCTTTTTATCCTTCTTCATCTCTTCGAAAGCTGAAACCATCATTTCCTGAAACCCCTGTTCTTCCATAAGATAATTAAAAAATCTAAACGATTTCGGGCCCCAATTTACCACACTCGGATGGCTTATGCCCTCTTTGTAAAATGGTTGAAGAATCTTCTTCGCATCTATTCTTCTCCTGTTCGGTTGCGTGGTCTTTGTGGAATAAATTTCTAAATTTTTGGAGATTTAGTTATGTGTTTTTGCAAAGCAAAAAATTTTCTTCTTGCTTGGAATGAGTTGAAATCTAATTCGGTAATTTGGACTTTCATTCCTGGGGCTGTTATTTGGACAATCTGGAAATTCAGGAATTACATAGTTTTTGAAGGGGGGAAGCTCGATCAGACTGAATTATTCTTCTTAAGAGTTAGGTTGGCCTCTTGGTATTTAGCAAAGAATAAGGATGTTTCTATTCCTAAGGACTCCTTAATCTCTGATCCTTCTATAGGGGATTCTTACTCGTCCTACAATTTCTTGAAGTCTTCCATAACCCCTTGGTTACCTCCCCCTACGGGTTTCATCAAGTTGAATGTGGATGCAGCAATTAGTTGTGATTGGGAAAAATCAGGCCTGGGTGGTCTTATGAGGGATCATTCTGGTGCAATCCTTGGTTCTTTTCAGGAACCGGATGGTTCTGGACCTCCAACATTGAAGGAACTTAAAGCTATCCAAAGGGGTATCTCTTTCTTTAACTCTGTTCTAGGGAGGGTTAAAGATAGGTTGATCATAGAGAGTGATAGCAGAGTTGCAGTAGACTGGATCAATAAGGTTGTCTCATGTCCAGCTGTTTATGGTTTCATTGTTAGAGATATTGTTGAGTGTCTTAAAGCTGTCGGGGGGGTTGTTAGATGGATTGCAAGGACAGCTAATATGGATGCCGATGCTCTAGCAAAGGCTGGTATAGGTTGATTATTATGTTGTTGACTTCTATAGTTCGGTTTTAAGGCTCAAGAATTGTTGTAAGGGTTCTACTTGGATTTTTCTTTCCAAGGTTGTAATTCTTATTTTCTTCAATGAAATTATAAGGCACTCTTTTCCTCCTTCCCATGATTAAGAAGCTTCTTTACAAGCTCCATTAATCAAGAAGGAGGTTTTTAAAGAGACCTTCAAATCTTATCAAAAAAAAAAGTAAAATTGCATTATGATATGATAATGATTTTGGGAGAATAGTTTGGACCACACCCGTATAAATACTCAAGAACCTGTAATCCACTAGGAACCGATCAAGTCTGACAAAGGTGGGGGACTCCCTGTTGCTGCACCATGTAAATTTCCCTCCAGAAGCTGGCAAATCTGTAAGCTTAGCTTGAAAAACAAAATTACCCAACACTCTCATTGAATGAACATTCTGGGTTTTCCCAAGTTTCTCCTCCGGGGACAAATAAGAATTGAAATCCCCCCACGCATAAAGGACAATCCATCTGATCTAAGAAGGTTAGTAGTTCCTAAAAAAACTCTCCTTTTCCAATTCGACCACCGGGCCATATACGTTGACCAAACAACAAACCTCACCAATATCCTTTATTTTGCCCTTAATAGCTATGAACAGACTGAATAAAATGTTGTTCAATTTCAAACTAATTTTCATCCCAAATGCTAATTAATCCCCCCGCTGCTCCTACCGAGGGAGATGAAACCATCCCATTCAATTTCCTCCCGCCAAGCTTTCTTGATAAAGCCAGATTTACGACCTCTAATTTCGTCTCCTGCATGAACACTATAACTGGTTTCTTCCTCAAAATCAAGCTCCTTACTGCCCTCACCATCTCTTTCCTTCCCAAACACCTGATATTCCAAGAAATGCATGAAAAAATTGACATTAAAAAAAGATTCGACTACCTCCTCCTGCGACGTGGCTCAATTAACACCTCCCACCTCGCTTATACCTGACGACCTCTTCATTTCTTTTTGAAACATTACAGGTTGCCGTCAAATTACACCCGCTAGCAATTTTTAGGCCATCAGTTCCTCCACTGCTAGGAGGTAATTCAATCTCCTCAATTCTGCCAGGCCTCCCCCACAGCCGCCGATGGGATTTGATCCAAGTCTTCACCCACAATTCTGGACTCTCCAAAACAGGAATAATTCTGGTCTCAAGCGACCTTGGTTCACTCATTTCTTCTAATTGGTCCTTCTTATTACCAGCTAGTCCCACATCATCCCTTAATCCAAGGCCCGCATACTCGCCTATTATACCTTGTGTATGTTCACAACCGTCTGACCCCCCTCCATTAATACCCTAGTAATCCTTGCCCATCACTAATGATTTCTGTCTCCAACAATCCACCGAGACGCCAGCTGTCCTCCCATTTTCCAGCCACGCTACAACCCTGTCTCGGGACTCATCAATCGTCGCACCAACTCCCTCAGCCATCACCGCCTGTCTGCCTTCTTCAGGGTTCTCCTCCGACTACTCTTCTGATCAGCAATCCTCTGAAAAACCAACCCAATCCTGATTCTGACTTTGTAGGATCTTCCATAAGCTCCTAACGTGATCACCTTTGGGACATCAAATGGGCTTGCTACTCTAATCAGCATTCTTACTAACGACAGATCCTCCCTGTTCCTTGTTGCCTCCGGGATATCAACCAACGTACCCCATCTTTCAGCTAACAGCTGCAAGAAGGATTCCTGCCAACATAGGAATGGAATTCCGTGCATATCAACCCAGCAGAACGCCATTGGAATTCCCTTATCATCAAGGAGCGGTGCCACCCAATCAAACCAGAAGGACAGCTCTTCCTTCTTGCTGCTCCAAATGTCTAATAAAGCTTCGACCGACTGGAAAATTAAAACGCTAGAATTCCAAGCATATCCCCAACTTACCACCTTTACTTCAATACCATCACTACACGGCCTTCTGAACCAGTTCCAACTCAAACGAATCCTTAATGATTCCCGTCATTGAGCTCTTCATCCACTCCGTCTCATTCGTAGGAAAATGCTTCTGGAATAGGTTCTTCCTTCTTGTTCCTTCTTTTGGAGCCCCCCTCTGATCTCCCTCGACTTCTGATCTTCCCTTAATCTCTTGTTCTGAATCAGCACATCCTTGTAAGACCTATCATCCCGTACACTGCTCAAGGTCTCAACTCATACCCTGTTCTTCCCTCTTTCCTTATCTGAATACTGTTCCATTCCTGTCTGAACCCTGCCTCTTGCTACTGATCCTCTCCGCGGATTCTGGTACTTCGCTACTCCCACTGTAACCATTAACTTTCTCGATTGCGTTCACCATGCTCTTCTCATTAACGAACTGAACAAATGCAAACGTCTGGTCTCTATATTTTGGTTTATTCAGAACATTCGGGATGAAAACTCTGCTGACCGACCCATAGTATTGAAACAACTCCCTCAATGCCCTCCTAGACACTCTCAGACTCAGATTATCCACGAACACTGTCCAAACCTCAACGGAGGGGGACTGACTTTTTGACTTCTCTGACGCTCTCGCACTCACTATCTCTCCCATTTTTTTTTGATCTTACATTGGACTGGATCAGTACATTTAAGCCTCTATGAATAAAAGGTTTTAAATGCGAGTATTTATGAAGTTTAAGGTTCTAAACTTTGTGTAAGCACTGAATTTGATGGTGAGTGCTAACACTATCAAATTTCGCTGAGTTCAAGTTTGCTTGAAAGTTATTTTGTGGACTTACTGGTACGACATGGTGTTCTGCTTGTTCATAAAAATTTTGACAAACTTGATTATGATACTGATCTGGCAAGTTTGTTCACATTGATGCAGCCCTTTTGGAAAGTGACAAGTGATGGCTCTGTAATAGGGAACGGTGTTGTTGGTATTATGCTTTTTTTCTAGATTTCTTGTTAGGTATTCTCTCTGTTTATTTTATTTATGATTACGTTGCTTATATTGCAGGTGTGCTTGAAGCTAACTTTATAGAACCAGCACATGACAAGCAGGATTTTGAGAGGTCATCACTGTTTGTCCGGCTGGAAAATAGGCTAAAACAGATGGTTCATGATTACTGGTTGGTTCCTTATCATAAATTGTAGTTTTGAGTATTGATATCTCCCTGATAAACTTTCTTACAAAATAATTTTTTGAGTATTGATAGCTAATTTTTGTTTATGAAACTATTTTAAAGAATGAACAGGCACTCTCATATTTCCTTCTGTGTTACTTCCTTTTATGAACAAGCCCTTATTTTTACTGTTTTTGTTCTTGATTTGCTGAACTGAGATCACTTCTGCAGAGTTTCAACACTTAAATCGCTGTTTCTAGAATAGTTGGCAGAAATGAGGAAAATGTTTTCTTTTCAAGACTAGGTTCTGAGGTGTTGTGATAAATCCAATTGATGAGACGAGCTTGCATAAGTAGGATAGTTGTTTTAACGGCCTTAGTTGAATTATGAGCAGCCTTCAAGTACTTACATATCTAGAATTCAGTGTCTCCTATAGTTCTTCCCTGCATTTTTGGATTTTCTTTCTTGGCTAAACATGTAGAGTTCATCTTAGTTTAACCTGATGCAAGTGATTGATGAATGGTGTCGTCTTTGATGCCAAATCAAGTGTCTTAGAGTTGACCAAACAATCGAACTTGAACATAAGAGGAAGCAGGAAACATTCCCGTTGAAGGGATGTAAAAGCTTATAGTTACAATGCTTGTTGACAGTTATTTAAGACGTTTGTCCTGGTTTTCTTTCCTGTGCAAGCTCGTACCTATAAAATTGTTGCTGAAACTTAATAACAAAAGTGCATCAAGTTTTTTCAATCACTTTATTTATTTAAGCATGATGCTTCTTGGTTCAAATGGATTGAGGTTTATTATTAGTCTATCACTCTTTTGAATAGATGGAAACTCTTCTTGTAAGACAGGAAAACCCATTGTCACTTGGTTGGCTATCAACCTCCAGGCTTCGCTGCAAAGTTGAAGAAGCAATTGTCATCTTCTCAGCATAACAGTAGTTCTAATTTGCAAGCAGAAAGTGATGACCCATCTATTGTACATATTCTGGAGGATGACGAGCTCGGTTTAAGAGGTGAACAACCAGGTATTGTTGTTCTTAATGATGCCATGTCTGAAGATGGTCTGGCATCCATATCAGTTGACCAGTTATGTGAAGAGAACATACAACTTTTCACGAGGTAAAATTTCATCTTAAATGTATCTGGCTGGTTGCGTGCGTATACCGTCCACCACTCACGGTGCATCTTGCATGTCTCTCATTCCAATGAGACTTGGTTCATATTTTAATTTTAGCTCGAATTTCCTAAATTGAACCGTTCTTAGAGTTTATGGCGTAGGGTTTCATAGAACTTAAGTCTATAAATGTTTGCATGAGGCTGATGCTATCCTATGGTGCAGGTGCGAGGAAAAAGCACGGAAGGAAGCCGAATTGAAACAGACGGTACGTGTTACATTGCAAATAACCAGTTTGGCGTTTTGTGGATATAGAGCAATATCCTTTTCAGTATTAAAAGTTGTCTGTATTTGGAATACATAGATTGCGGAACTGGAGAAGGGGTTGGAGGATATGAGAAAGAAGTGTGCCCAGCTTTCTTCACTCCTAGAGGCCAAACGTAAACGGATGGTTACATAAAAAAAAAAACTATACCCTAAACATTTCATGCAAGTAACCTAAAGCTCAACTTTTCTACTGATGATCTTTTCTGCAACCTAGCTACATTTCTATAAAATAAAAATAAAAAAACTTGTCTTTTGATCCAATTAAAGTTTATATCCCGAGGAGCAGAGCATTGTATAATAGGGGAACAACATACTTATTATAGTTATGTGTACTTTTTATATTAAGGTTAAATTTAGGAATATCATTGTTCAATCTTGAATAGCGTTGGGACTATATTTTTTAAGGGTAAATTACACGTTTAGTACCCAACTGTCACTTTTGTTCCATTTTGGTCACCCAACTATTTTTTGTGCAATGTCTACAAAGCTGTGGGGAGCTGGAGTGAGGAGTTAGATTGAGCGTTACTCGTTTGAAGGGAAAGTCTCTCATTGTGTACATACTTAAAGTAGCTTGGTGTGTGTATATATATTGTATGTGGGAGGAGAGGAATCATAGGCATTTTCGGGGAGTTGATAGGATAAAAGGGCTTAGGAAAAATGTAAGAAGTGATTCTGTGAATCAATTCCTTTGTCTAGCATGGGGTATCTAAAAATCCCCTAGGCTTTTGACTTTTTTTTACAAAATTTATCAATTTTTTTTGTTTTAAAATTATAGCTAAAGTTTAGTTTTAGTTTCATTTTGATTATCATTCATTAAAAAATTAATAGTAATGTTAGCATGTTACCATAAGATAATGTCATATCTTTATTGAAATAATAATAATAATAATAATAATAAATGTTACGTTAGAAGTTCTGTTGTTATTTTATTAATGGTGGGTGAGTAAAATGAAATCAAAAATAAACATTAGGTATAATTTTAAAATAAAAAATAGTTGGTTGACTAAAACTAAACAAAAATGATAGTTGACCATTGTGGAACTAAATGTGTAGTTTATCTTATTTTCAATTTCGTTAATTTTTTTTGGGAAAGATTGTATTTATTTAACAGTTAACAAAATTAAAGTGTATTGATAAATGTGAAATGGAAAATGGAAAATTTTAGTCATATACATATTATATATAAATAAAGCTATTGATGCAATCAATGAAGTTTTAAAATATGAATTTCATTGGATGGTATGAAATTTGGTTAAACATATTCAGTTTGTGAAGATTCAACTATGGAGTCTAACTCAAAATTATTATTTCATTCTTCTTTTTCCTGTCCGATTCGATTTTTTTAAAATAGATTCAAGAGACATGAATCTAACTCAAATTTCTAGACTTCTTTTATCCATGTCGTTATCCAATGAGTTTTCAACTATGATATGTGCTTTCTATCCCCGACATCCACATTTTCATTGTTAAGATCGTTCGTCGAAAACTCCGATTGTAAAAATCTGAGATGGTCCAATCATATTAAAAAAAAAAAGTTAACAACGAAAAAATAAAAATAAAAACATGATCGTGAGGATCGGTTGCAAAAATAAGTCTATTATACCTTCAGAAGTTATCTCAGCAATAATAGATTAACAAGATTTTCAGACAAGACTTCTGACAGATCAAATCAGTTTACTATGATAAAATTTAAGATATGACAACTAGATCTATTTAATTTGCCTATCTATTAGTAGCTATGATGGCCTTATCCAGACATCATCAAACATAATTACTATAGATTCTCTCGATCACTACCTTCCTTCTCAGTGAAAACACCAGCCAACAATTTCGACCGTTGCTTTTTATATAATACAAATCATATAATAAATATAAATGAAATAAAATAATACTCTATATTACAAAAGACATAATAATAAAATTACCCTCAATGTTTGTATAAATTGCCATTTTATTCCTTATTTTTTTTAACATTTTAGTCTCCAACATTTTAATTTTTTTTATCAAAACAAACTTTGTTGGACAAAAATCATTAGTTGACTAATGATCAACACATGTTGCTAACGTGATATTTTTACATGTGTTCAATTATTAACATAACATGTGGCATATCATTTCACTAAAAGTGATGACATATCATGTGTCATATCACCTAAAGTGATGATATGACATGTTTCATTTCAACAATTGAACACACGTGAAAATATCACATGAGCAACATGTGTTGATCGTTAGTTAACTAACAGTTTTCATCTAACATAATTTGTTTTTATAAAAATTAAAATGTTAAAGACTAAATTATTCCAAAAAGAAAAGATAGAAAATAAAATAATTATTTATACAAATGTTGGAGATAATTTTATTATTATCTCATTACAAAAGTAGAAAATGGTCCAATCTTAGATTTCGAATATTTGAACTCAAGTCTAACTATACTTTTTCTTGAATTGAAAAGGAGGCTTATGCCATTAAATCAACCCGTCAACATTGGTAAGATGGGAGGTCATAAGTCTTCAAACATGCTCTCATACTAAATCTCTATAATATTAATTTGAATTGATCGATTAATAAATTGAAAACTAGTGATTATAAAAAAATAGACTGAGACCCATCCAAGGAATAAAAAGCTTTGACAAGTACATATGCAGTCACGTAAAGTTAGTTAAATGCACTATCCATGCTTTATCACGGAGCCCAGCAATTAGCCGAACCAGTGAGTAGGGACTTGAAGAAGCTGAAGTAGAAGATATTAGTTTGAATCAAAGTCATAAGCCCAGGCTATCTTAAAGCCCTCGTAAACCTCCATAGTTCAGCTTCAAGTTTTGAGGTAAAATTTAGATGTTTGTTGGGGTTTTCACAAATTCATACTTACTGCCATATCAGCAAATCAACCACAACCATTTTTTGTTGATAATCAATTTGATTCTCTAAACGCTTCGAGTAGTTGAACATCATCTTCCAACAATTTCATATCGTCATCATCCAAGTTCCCTTGATTATCCTCAGGGAAATATTTCGAGTTAGCCTTAGCCACCACCATGTGTTTACACGAGGGAGCAGTTCAAGAGTTTTCTCTTTTCTGAGAGAATCACATTCCATGTTAGCTTCTGATCATTCACTATGAACAATAGCAGTCCGCTATTGTAACAGCACCTGCTATATAGCGTAGCGGTGTTGTCCGATATCGTTATTGTATGGTTGAGATATATGTAATCACTGTAATAAATGTAACGCAATCGAGAATGACACTCGCAATTTAGATCTCTTATGAACATCATTCTGGTCAATCAGGGCTTCATCGCGCCGCTGTTATTATTTTTAGGCAACCATGAGTTTTCGGAGTTCATCTATTACGAAAACGGTCTGATTACTGATTCCTGCTGATACTTTGAACAAGTCTATTTTTTTTTAATAAAAAAAGTCTTTGTTTTGTAACAAAATATGGGGAAAATAAATTTTAAAGATTCAAATGGACTGAAAAATTTTGCAGGCTTTAAGTAGTTAGGATGGATTCAGTTGGACCTAAAATTTTTGTAGATGTGTGTGTTTTGGGGCTTTTGTTTTGATGGACTCCGAAAATTCAGTCCATGTTTTCGTTTTCATCAACTCAAAATCGTTTTCTCAGTTTGAATCTGTTGTGTTCTCCATTGATCCTTCAACTCAAAGCCATCATGAGGAAAAGAGATTTATCTATTCTTATGCTCTCCTCTTTCGCCATTTTCTTCTCTCTCCAGGTTCTTTTACTCTTCATTTAATTCAGCGGACGAGCTATATGATCAATAGAAACTCCTCGGTTCTTCAATTCAATGCTAATTTTATTCAGTTTCTTTTTTTGTAAAGCACGAGGGAGATTTCTCGTTTAGAGAAGCGTGGTTGCGTTTATCCGATGAATATCCGATCAAATACGAAGCTGAGCGTCTCCCTCCACCTCTCGTCGCCGATCTAAACGGGGACGGAAAGAAAGAAATCCTCGTAGCCACTCACGATGCCAAAATTCAGGTTATTACTTATTCATTTTTCTAAACAAATTGATTTAAAACAGAAAAAAGGGGCAAATTACAAATTTACCAATTAACTTTATTTTCTCTCCTATATCACTCATTGTACTTTCAATTTTTTTAATTTACTCACAGAACATACGCTTTGACACGCTGAATTTGATAGTTGTTTCACCGGAAATGTTCCAAAACCCATGAATTTAGACTGAAATATTTTGATCTCCTATTTGTGGACTTCATAGCATGTTTCGACAAAATGGATGTCGGATTCAGACTCATGGGGACGGAACAGCCGGTTAAATTTGGGACCGAACAGCCACAAATACTAGACGACAAACAGTTGGGTTTAATTTTATTTTTTAAAATTATTTTGATATTAATAATAAAAAAATTGTATTCACACCAATTAGTGACCAAAACATGAAGGTTTAATGAGTAAATTAAAAAAATTGAAAGTACAATGATTGAAATCGGAGAGATAGTAAAGTGAGCAAATTTGTAATTTACCCAAAAGAAAAAAATGGAAATTCACTTGAAAGTTTAAATTCGATTTTGTTTAAAACTAGCTATTGGAGCCACATGCACGACGTGTCGATGAAGGATTTAGTGAAGCGCGTTTGCTGGCAGAGGTGTCTCTGTTACCTGATAAGGTCAGGGTTGCTTCTGGTAGACGTCCGGTTGCTATGGCCACCGGTGTTATAGAACGAACATATCGAAATAAACCTCAGAAGCGGGTTCTGGTTGTTGTTACTTCGGGTTGGTCTGTCATGTGTTTCAACCATAATCTCAAAAAGCTATGGGAGAATAATTTGCAGGTCTGTAATACATTTTTGGTTGATATTCCATCTTTGAAACTCGTCTTCAAATCGTGTTGTTTATGATAGAATTGTGTTTTGGTGGTGTTGGACAGGATGATTTTCCACATAGTGCACACCATAGAGAGATAGCGATATCTGTAAGCAATTACACCTTGAGGCATGGTGATTCTGGTTTAGTCATTGTTGGTGGGAGGATGGAAATGCAGCCCCATGTATGTTTTCTAAGTTCCATTATTAGCTTAGCGTTCATTCCTTCTATGGCTATCTTCTGCGAAATCTAGTTCTATATGAACTTTTTTTTATAACTTGTTAGCATTCCGGTGTTTAATATTTTCAAAACCTGGATATATGATGAGGAAAGAGTTGAAAGAGTTTCTTTTTCATTACTCTTCTTTGATTAATTAACAAGTATAACGAACATTTTTAGATGTACCTAGATCCTTTTGAACAAATCGGGATGGCAGAACGAAATGCTGAACAGCATAGAAGAAGTGCAAATGAAAAGGAGGTGGGAATCCTTGTCCTTGATGTTACACTATTGATGTATTAATTTCCATGTTTCTCAAAGGGGTTTAATATCACCTAGGAATATGTAATTGGTATAGCATCAATCTAAACTCTGTTAAGGACCTGAAAGATGCTATTTTGACATTAACCATGCGAGCTACATGATTTCTATGCACAAAATCAGCTGCATTAAGAATGAGTTGATGTCACTTCTAGTTTCAGATTCCAATAATGATACCTTGTATCCTTTATTTAGGCTTCTGAAAACTTGGGAACTGTGCATTTACGTCAGTTTGCTTTTTATGCATTCGATGGACGAAAAGGTGTAATTAGATGGTCTAGAAAGAATGAGGTACTTTCTTTCCTTTGGACAAGTTGCTATTGTCGCTCTTATCTCTTACAATTTTGCAATATCCTTCACTATATGTACCTATGCATTTTTAATTGTTGTCACCTGGTTTACAACTGTGGTGCTTTTGTCAACTATCACCTCCTTCACTATATGCTAATATGATCACCTTTCCTTTTAGAAATTGAGTTTAACATGATCATTTTGTTGGTTCAGAATTTTGAAGAAAATTCTTCAGATCTATCACAGTTAGTTCCACAACATAACTACAAGCTTGATGTTCAAGCACTCAACAGTCGTCAACCTGGTGAGGTATGCGCTAAAGCCATTTGGATAATTATATTTCTCTGAAGGTGGTTATAACCTTTAAACGCATTGGACGAAAAATGTACTGGGAGCTGAAATCTTATTTACTAATGTCTAATCATGGTCCAACCAAAAGTCCTAGGCACCTGAACTTCGCCAACTTGGTGCCTGGTTTCCTGGTTATCTTCATCCATTTTTCCATGATCCAAATTTTCACTCAGATGTAAATCTCACTTCACCTGTCGAAAAGTATGGCATTGCTCACAGATTTCTACATTTTGCTTAATGTTTTCTGATCTAAGTTTTTCTATTTCTATAATTGTAATGGTACATTTGTTTCCTTTAAAGTACTTCTGCTTCTCTATATGGTTCATGAAATCCTTTTCCTTTGAATAAAAAAATGTTTTTCCCCCCAATCTAGTTGAATATTTCCCACATATAAAATTTCTTAGACATGTTGAACTTTAGTTTGAGTGCAGGCAATTCAGAGAATCAATCCTTGGAGTTACTCCGCATCATTGGGTAAGCACATAGTAATGCATACTAATTATGACTCTTTGCTCTCTTCTTTGTATTTTCAAGAATGTTGGGGATTCATGTTAAGTCTATCTTTTGAACTAGGATAGGAGAGAAGATACATTGTTAATGTTGTCACATTTCAAGCGGCATAAAAGGAAACCACTGAAAAGAATACCTGGAAAGGCAACAATTTATCCTTTTCACAAGCCTGAGGAACACCATCCTCCAGGGAAGGATGACACCAAAAAAATTTCAAATTTTATTGGAAAAGCTGCAAAGTATGCTAGTTCAGCAAAATCAAAGAAGGTAAGTTTGCCAGTGGAATATGCATACTTCTGTGGAATCCTTCCTCTTGAAGTTCAGAAAAGACCGTAGACATAAATATTTTTTTAATTTATTTGATAGGTTTCTTCTTAGCTGTTATGCTGTGCAACAAGTTCATAGGGAATGGCACCTAATATTTTGTCTTATGCACCTCATTTCTTTTAGCTCTGTTTTCCTGTGTTGCTTTGACCCATTTTTAATGGCTGTAATGCATCAAAGCGTTATCTTTTGTTGCTGTACTTGGATATTCTTGTGCACTAGTACACCCAACTGATGATAAAATTTACTGAAAGATTTTGCTCACATTGTACTGAAAACGGTTTTACGTAAGATTTGTTTTTCAAATACATTTTCCTTTTATGATTTCTTCTAATTTTTTCCTTTTATGATTTTTATGCAGGCATTGACATTTATTCCGACCATAACAAATAATACTCGGCTCTGGTGGGTTCCTAATGTTGTTGTAGCCCATCAAAAGGAAGGGATAGAAGCTGTTCATTTGGCATCTGGTCGAACTATATGCAAGGTGAGCCTAAATCCCAATCTGTGTTTTTAGATATACGAAACCTCGGAATTCACTAAAATTGCTGAACTTATATACCATTTGTTAATATATTTCTCTAGCTGTTGACATGAATGCTAATTCTCAACCTGGAAAAAAGTAGGCCTTCTCTTGACCTTACCTTCAGCTTTTGTTTCATTCTTTTCCTTCCCACATGACGTATGCATAGAAATTGTATACAAGGACTATATTTCTTAACAAATTTGATGTGTAATGTATTTTGATTTCAACAGCTTCATCTTCAAGAAGGTGGCCTTCATGCTGATATTAATGGAGATGGAGTCCTGGATCACTTACAGGTGTGGCCTTGAACCAAATTGTTTTCTGCCGTAAACTGTGTTTTTTTCCAGAGTGCTAACTCGAAGATTGACCATGCATCTGTTCTCAGGCTGTTGGAGCCAATAGTGGTGAGCGGACTGTTATTAGTGGATCAATGGAAGTCCTGCGACCATGTTGGGCTGTGGCAACCTCCGGAGTACCTGTTAGAGAACAACTGTTTAATGCTTCAATATGTCATTATTCCCCTTTCAATTTATTCCAACATGGAGAGTTCTATAGAAGTCTCGGTCGAGGTGCAAATGCTGCGTCTTTGGAAGTGGCAACACCGATTTTCATACCTAGGAGTGATGGACATAAGCATCGGCAGCGGAAGGGGAGTCATGGTGATGTTATTTTCTTAACAAGTCGAGGAGAGGTATGCTTGGAATGTGTATACTAAACGCACCTTGTTAATATGTTTGGTCATGCATGTAATGTTTCTACTCCTACTTTTCAGTTAACCGCATACTCTCCCGGCTTGCACGGGCATGGCGCTGTTTGGGAATGGCAGCTTTTGACGGATGCTACATGGTCAAACCTTCCTTCACCTTCAGGTATGATGGAAGGCAGTACGGTGGTTCCGACGCTCAAGCCGATCTCCTTGAAAGTGCATGACAATCAGCAAATGATCCTTGCGGCAGGAGAACATTCAGCCGTATTCATTTCTCCTGCAGGAAGTGTATTAGCAACTGTAGATCTTCCTGCTACACCTACCCATGCTCTGATCGTAGACGATTTCTCAAACGACGGGCTAAGTGACCTCATTGTTGTGACGTCTAGTGGAGTATATGGTTTCGTCCAGACGAGACAACCAGGTGCCCTGTTCTTCAGCACACTGGTGGGTTGCCTTTTACTTGTGATGGGAGTAATCTTCGTCACTCAGTACCTGAATTCAGTCAAAGGTAAACCTCGTAGTTACTCTTAAGCTCTTCCAAAATGCAAAATAAAACCAGCAAAGATCACCTCGTTAATGCTATCACTTCATTTTTTTATAGCGTATATATTTTAACAAAATTGTCGCAATCTTCCAATTTTAAAGCTCGCCTAATTAATAAATTGTATTAAACTTTCATTTCAATGCATTAAAAAATTCTTTAAGTATCAATTTAAAAGAAAATATATAAATATATATTTAAGTCATCGAAATTGTTTTTTTTTCTTTTTTTAGTGCAAGAGGTCTATATGTTGAGGTCGACCTGCCCTTGTCTTAATTGTACATACTGTTGTAAATCTTTTTAATTTGAAGGGGATACTCCTTTTTGTGCTTACATAATCTTTTTCTCATTTCATTTGTAATGTAGCTTTTTCGTACACCTTTCAAATATAAAATCATGGAGGAAAATGTTATACGAATTATAATATTTTGATATGTATATGTATTTGTTTATAATAAAATTTTAAATTTATCTAATAAATATATATTTGGATTTCGAAACTATGAACTCTTTTTTCCTTTTTGGTTTCATGAATCAATTAATTAATTTGTTTTTGTTACATAAACCAACTAACTTTGATACATACACTTACAAGGTTAATTTTAATTCATTGTGCCTACATACATATTGAATTTTAATAAAAATAATCGTGCATAAAATATAAAATATTCTCTAATTAATAAATAATAACTTACCAATAAATCAATAAAAATACTTATTTATCAATAAATAAATTAATAATCCCGATAATATAATATTTTATTTTGGTAAAAAAATATTTTATAGAGGTTTTATTGTACGTCTTTATCCCATACACATGTTCCAAGAACAGGTGATGAGAATCTGCTTTACAGCTGATAGTTATTTATTAAGCAAAAGCTTAAGAGGGATCTATATTAATAATCACACCTAAAAATTAGGTTTTTTTGGGTTGCATCCGTAGGTTTTGTATGAAGATTTATAAATGTTAGTTTTAGAATGCAGCAAATTCTTTATATAAAAATTAATATTACAGTTGATTCTTATTGATAATTTAATATTATATTATATTATTTATTTTATTTTAAAAAATTGTATAAATAAAAATGTAAAAATTAAATGATTAATTTAAATATCTAAAATAATATGGTAAAGTTCCTTAGATAATGTGTTATAAAAAGAGATTGACTCATTCCGAGTGATAGATAAATTATTTGTTGGGAAGCATGTTTGTTACGGTATTTTTTAAAAGATGTTTCGATCACTTGATATTTTTTAGAAGATGTCGGAAAGATACAACGTCTTTCCTATTATTGCATGCAATTGAAATGTCAAGTTAACAAAGTAGCAATACAAAAAATACCAAATAATTCAGACGTTTTCTCAAAGATGTCGAGTAATCCAGACATCTTCTCAAAATACTTAAAAAACATTTTATTCCTACAAATAATTTTTCTAACACCTTAGATGTGTGAATCTTTTTTCAGTAATTTACGGAAACATTATTATTATGAAAAATGATATATTAATTTATATTTGTTTGGGTTAATAAAAAATAAGTGTCTAAATTATATTTCCGAAAATGTTTTAGCGTATAAAGAATTTTTCGCTAAAAATAGGTGTCTAATGTTTTCTCTGTTATCATTTTAGGTGAGGGGACGTTAATCATCGTTAAAATTCTCCGTTAAGTGACATACGTCATGTTTAGGTAATTTTGAGAATTTTTATTTAATTTTTTTTTTTAAAAAACTAAAACATTTTCAGATCTAAAAAAGACTCAAAACTTTTAAAACCTTAATTTTAATCTCTTTGTCACCGTCGGCCACCACCAACGTCGTCAATAGGCCAAACACTCAATGACGTGTGACTGACAAACCACCCATAACGAAAACCCTCATACTTTCGCAACTGATCGAACACCAAATCTCCCTAAATATATAAATTCCTAAACATAAGGAATTCAAGCCCTAAAATAAAATCTTTCATTTACACATTTTTTTGGTGTTCAATCGGTTGTGAAAAATATGAGAGTTTTGGTTATGGGTGGATGGTCGGTCACACGTCGTTGAGTGCTCAGTTGATTAACGACGTTGGTGACAGCTGGCGGTGGCAACATGATTAAGAATAAAGTTTAAAAAGTTTTGGTTCTTTTTAAGATTTAAAAAAGTTTAAGTTTTTTTAAAATGTATTTTTTTTATTTTTAATAAAAATTTCAAAATTACCATAATATGACACGTGTTACTTAACGAATATTTTTAACGGTGGTTAACATCCGGACACCTAAAATGGCAACGGACAAAAAGTTAGAGACTTATTTTTAACAAAAAAAAAATTCTTTAGATACTAAAATATTTTTTGAGATATAGTTTAAATACTTATTTTTATATTAAACATATTTGTTTTATTCCTGCAAAACTTATATACACAGAAATCAAGTATAAAAAATTAAAAATAATTTAAAATTGTGTACTTATCTCTAGGTAGTGTGAAACTATAGGTAGTAAAGAATCAATACTATTACACTAGGATAAAAATAATATATAATTATAAAACATACTGTATATTTTAAAATTTAATACAAAATGATAATTATTGTACAAAATAAATGTAACGAAATCATCTTACGAACCAAAAAGACGACAGGTAAATTTGGAAAATCATAATTTAATAAAGTTTTCATTAACAATTATTTCAATTTATGGGTTTAAATTACATAAACTATTACTGTTGACATGTGAAGGGACTAACAACCGTAAAAAAGGGTCTTAGGTGGAAGAAAGGTGATTCCGATAATTTTTAATCTGAATTAATAATGTATTAAATAGTATGTTTGTTTAATCTCTAATATATGATTATTTATAATATTTTGGATGTGTATCAATTCAGAATTATTGTGACATGTCGATAAGACATCTTAATAAGTAATGAAATACATTTAGTTAGTCATCAAATAAAAATACATGTATTTACACGTGATCAATTGACATCGCTGGCAAGTTATGATCCATTTAGATTCAGTCTAAAATTATTAGTTTTATGTTTTTTTTTAAATTGTTGGATGAGGAAAATTAAAGATTGTGATTAATTCATTATTTTTTTTCAGTAAATATCATATCATATCATACTGTTAATCTTAATATTTGATTTTCCTTATACAACAATTCCAAAATAAAATTCTTAGTTTTACGATGGAGTAATTGAATCTTGCCCTATTTAAAATATTTATTTTTAAGATAAATACTTAAGTTATATTAATTTTTTTCGTTTAAATTTCTAAAAATTGACATGTTATTGTAATTAAAAATACTTTAAATATCTAAATAAAAAATAATATATTTTAAATCTTAATTTTGATTAAAAATATTTTAAATATTTAAATAAAATATAATATATTTTAAATATTTTTTTAAAATATTTTCAATATTCAAATAATATATATATATATTGTTGTCCTCCCTATTCCCATTAATTTTGTCCTAATTAACTTATACTAATTAATGTCGTATATCTGATTTTGGTAGATGATTTTCTCTGTGAGAATTTTCAACATACATAAAATTTCAAACTCGAGCTGTAGGGATAAAGCCAAAATTCTAGTTCAAATGGAGAAAATATAATTAACAATATAAATAGAAGGAACAAAATCAAAATAAATCAAAACTTGAATGTCTAAATAAATATTTATCTCTATATATTTTTAAATAGTAAAAAAAATTAAGGGACAATGGTCTCCTAAAACTATATATAATTTCGTCTTTATATTAAATTATTTACTACTTGAATCAATTTATTGGTTAAAAAGTAATATATTTGAATTACTTATTTATAATAAAGTCTAAACAATTAGTTAAATCTAGAAAAAATAAGAAAAGAAAAAGAAAACCTAATGGATATGGCTGGTGGGGCGACACGTGGGTAATAAATGACCCTTAGATGGGAATGAGAATGCCAGGATCGCTTTCGCCTTAGCCTAACGAGGTTGTTAGTGAAATGAACGAGAAAAGACGGAAACTGTAACTATACTCGGTTTCAGTTTTATGTTTGTTCACTAAGAAACAGACGAGAAAATTCAAACATAGAGAAAGGGCTGCTTAATTAGAAAGCTCAGGAAAGAGATAGAAGAGAGAGAAATGGCATGGCGGCGTTGGCAGAAAACAGAGCTGTAAATTCTCTGTATCGTGTCTTAAATGCCTGGGCAACTACAAGAAATACATGTTAAGTCAAAAGCAAACCGAAATTCTTATCAAAGTTGAAGACTTGAAGTGTAAAAATCAGCTTTTTCTTGCTATTAGGTGGCACCGACAACAGCAAAAGACAACAACCATACTCGGTTTCAATTCTCGTTTTTGTTTTTCCGATAGGGTTAAGATTAATTTATTAGATGGCAGCGTATGCGTAGAACACATGCGAAAGGGGAAAGAACTGGCAATAACGTGTACCCATTTTGAACAAATAAATTGGGTTTCTGATATGTATTTTATGTTGCAATTTAGGTCTGGGAGAGGTTTAGAGAAGGAACAATGGCTGAGTTTTTCTCACTAGAAGGAAGAGGAATCAACAACAGCCAAGAACATCAACAAAACCAACCAGAGAGCTGGTTTTGGTACAAAAACGAGGATGTTTCCTACAAGGGTTTTGAATTATGGCAACAGCAAGAGCTTCTCCAACGCCACCAAGGCACCAGCGACGAACCCCAAAGCCAACGACTTCAAGATCTTTATGTTTCAGCAGCTGGGTTAGGTGTTGGACCTACCAGGAGCTCAACCAACATCTGCGATGATCCCTCGGCTTTTATGATGACGGGTAGTGGAGGTGGAGGAGGCACCATTAGTTGCCAAGATTGTGGTAATCAAGCCAAAAAGGATTGCATTCACATGAGGTGTAGAACTTGTTGTAAAAGTCGAGGGTTTGATTGCCAAACCCATGTTACAAGTACTTGGGTTCCTGCTTCCAAGCGCCGTGATAAACAACATTTGCAGCAGCAACTTCAGATTCCCAAAAGACAGCGAGAGAATCTAACATCTTCTTCTCTTACCTGTACTCGTTTAGCCACAAACGCGTCAGGTACAGTTTTGTTCTTGGGTGTGTGTTTTTCTTTAACTATGATACTTTATAATAACTCTCAGTGAAAGCCTTGCAGTCTCCAAGATTAAGAGGGAATTGTTTTTCCTGAAAAAAAGAATGAGAAAGGTTAAAAAATTGCGTGCAATGAAATCTACCTCCTTATTTAGCCCCTTCATCAGCTTTCTTTTCATCAATTCCTTTTATATATACTGTTTTTCAGTAACTGTGACGAATGTTTTGACCGGAAAGAAATCTTTTTTCTTCTTTCTATGCGTCCTCTCTCTCTCTCTCTCCTGTGTTTACATTTTTGTATAACCCCATTGTCTTTGCTTGTATTTCTCTCCTTTGTTTTCCACTCATAATCATGGAAACGAACTAAAACCCATTTTGTTTTATTTTCTTTTAGGGTTTGAAGTGGAGAATTTTCCTGCAAAAGTGAACTCTGAAGCGGTTTTCCGGTGCGTGATAGTGAGTAGCATTGAAGATGGTGACGATCACTATGCTTATAGGACATCTGTGAACATCGCAGGGCATGTTTTCAAGGGAATTCTTTACGATCAAGGCCCCGAAAGCGGCTACAACATGGAGGCGGCGGCGGCAGCTGGTACGAGTTCTTCCGGTGATGGAGTTCAACTTCAACCGCTTGATCTTATTACTGCTGGTCCCACCGCCGTGGATACGGTTGCAGCCAACGCCGGCGGGTGTAGCATTACACCTGCTGCTACTTCATCAAGCGCAGCATATTTAGACCCTTCCTCTCTATATGCGACTCCACTCAACACTTTGATGGCTGGTACGCAGTTTTTCCCAAATCCAACATCTTAAAAAACCACACCCAAAGTCATTTTCTTTCTTCTACGTCTCTTCTTCATTGTCTACTTTCTTGACACTTGATAGTAAAGCACTACAACATTTGATACCCACCATTGATGAAGTAGGTAGTTCTTAAAAATGTTTAAGAAAATATAAAAGAGAGAGATGCTTGGTCTTTTTCCATTGATGAAGTAGGTAGTTCTTAAAAATGTTTAAGAAAATATAAAAGAGAAATGATTGGTCTGTTTATTGTGAAAACTTGAATGCTTTAGTTCAACTCGTCAAATATAAATTCATCTATCACTGCAACTGTTGCTAGTTCTTGGTATAAAGTTTCCATCTTGAATGAAATCTAATGCTGTTTTTGTACAGCATGTGGCGTGTCAAGTGTGTCTGTAAGTTGAAGAAATATTTAATATTTTAGTGAGATTATGGGCTTTTGTTTTTAAAGTTTGGGTTGAATAATTTGGAAAAAGAAATAGATTTCTGGCTGGTTTTTTCAACTTGGGGATGCCAGTTTATATGTGGCGGAATCTTGGTTCCTTCTTTGGTTGGACAACCTACAAAGGCCACATCTTTTTCTCTAATCATGGTATGGCCGATCCAGCCATGCATATATATATATATATCATCTGCTCCATCTTTTTAATGCTTACTGCAATTTTGTTGGTAAAGAACAAAAGATCATGCAATATGGTTGCATACAGTACAGTTTCTATTCATCTGTGTTATGCTTATGAAGAAGTCTGTTTGTTTCTAATGTCAAGTTTAAAAGGCTGCAAGTGTATGAACAGAAAGACTATTAAGATTTCCCCCATTAATGACCTGTTTTTCTTAATCTCTACACAGTTCCCTTCTTCACACCTTCCGATGAGAAAATAACAAAAATAGGGTATAGGTTTAGGGTTTCTTTATTGTCTTTACACGCTTTTAACTTTTGACATGTTTATGTAGCATGTTTCAATTAATTACAGAAAGCAGCTGTTATGTACTTTGGTTCTTTCTTTGGCGACTTTATACTAAAATCATCATGTCAGTAATTAATTAACTGTCTGGCATTGTTTCAAAAAATTTTATCGATCTAATATTTTTTCTGACAATACACAAATGTTTATCCACGCCTTTTGCTGACGTGGCATGGTGCCAGCTTGGTTAAGTCACGGTATGGTGGGTATTAGATCCATAAAATTTTTTATTGATAATTTCTGTTAGAGTGATTTTTAGGTGAAAATACCACAGAATATTAAGTAAGTAGTGTTTTGTTTGTTGGAAAAAAAGCTAAAATTTAATTAGCCAATCATTTTCATTTTTGTCTGAAAAATTAAATTCTATGTTAATAAATAAAATCACGTGCCTTTTATACTTATTTTTTTTTCAAATAATTATTTATTTTCTTTTTTAATAAATTTTTTCATTAAATCATAGAAATTATATAATAAAATACTTTTTTTTATTTAATCAACCTTTTTGTGTTAAATACGTTTTTAAATTTAATTGAGTTTCAAAGTTATTATTAGATACGTTATATATATATATATATGGAGTATAAATTTTTTATACATTTATATTTTAATATGTTTTTGATACGTAGATTGATTGGATAATTAGTGAATTAATTGAATAATTAGGGGATATTAATGATGAAATATATTGTGGAATGTAAGATAATGAGAAATTATTTAGTAGAATGAGATATAAAGATCAACAAAGTAATGAGCGAATGGGGATGATTTTGTTTCATATATATTTCTATTTTAAAATTAAAATATAAAAAAGTGGAGGAATTAAAATAAGTATTTTAAGAAATCAGTTTTAAATGAATTTATTTAATTTTCAAAAATTATTTTGAACGTCTTCTTGATAATTTTATTATAGTTATTATACTTTTAATATTTTTTAGTTTGATCCTAAAAATATAAAATAAAGCTACTAGTATCTACGAATAATTTTTTTAAGATTGATTTCAATTACAAATCATTTTAATGATCATTATAAAATTAACTTCATTCTACTAAATTGATATAGAATTATGGATATTTCTTAAAGGAATTTCAACTACAATATTTTATTAATTTAACCGAATTAATCGATGTAAACAAATCATAATATAAAAAATAAATTAAAAAAATAAATCCCAATAGATGTGGGTGGAGTAATTTTCTTACTGACAAATATTGACGACTTGTTTGAGAATGACTCAATGAGATGTTTCCGTTTATAGTTTTTGTGTACCACACAAACCAGACGTTTTTACCTAAAATTTACCTTAATAAGAATTAATTACCTATCAGACATCATTTCAAAAAATTTACGAATTTAGCATCAGTCAATCTCTTGTTAGAAAGTGTATTAGATTGATAAAATTTTGTTAAACGATGCCTAACAGGTAATTAATTAATATCAGGGTGATTTTTGGGTAAAAACGTCTCTTTCTTTCACGGCTAATTATTCATGGTCTGTCAAAAATATATTCTAGCTTGATTTGGATTAAAAATATTAACTGCAGCTTTACCTTTTAACTTAATTTTAAGTTCATAGCGTGTTCCATTATGTTGATGTATGGATCACTTTGGTTTTTTTTTTGGGAACGAAATCTGCATTTTATTTAGACATGACTGTTTAAACTACTTGTAAATTAGCAGGAATTTGGTGGTATTAATTGTCTATGTAGATGGGGAGCATACAAACCCAATAATTAGCTTTCGAGTGCTGCCACACGAGTCATTTCTTTAGCATGTTGGGTCATGGACTGAATTTAATAAGGTGTATATAAACGAGTGTTACAACGTTATAATAGAGACATGACCTGTTTATATAGTGGTGTATGAACAAAAAAAGATATAAATGTTAATTGACGAAATGAAAAAAGTGTTCTTCTTTGGAGATATCAAAAGTCTTGTTGTTTAGGGTTGAAGTGGCCATTATTCTGGACATAATTTTGAGTTCCATATGCTCATTTCCTTTTGTTTTTATAATCTTTGATTTCTCATAAAATCCATTGGTGTATGCTGTGATCTTTCTATTATTTTGTTTTCAATGTTTTATTACTGTTTGCTTTGCTGCAGTTGGTTCATATGTCCAGCCAACGTTCTTTCAATTGCACCCAAGAAACTAAAATATTCTTGGTACGGTTCCTTATTGTAGAAAACTTTACCAAAAGCTAAAATTTTGATCGTTCAATGGTTATGTATATCATTCATCTTTTCTCATGTACGCATGTACGTATGTATGAATCACATCTTTCCCCGAAAGGGCATACAAAATTTATGAATTACCATGTCGGTTTTAGAGACTGTTTGCCATTGCTCACAAAATCATACAGTTTCGGTCAGAATGTCATATACCGACTGCCATTTGCATGTGAAAACTCTTAGGTGGATTCTCCATCAACAATCATTTTATTTCGAAATTCTTAACTATCAGCTACTCTCCTGGACTGGAAGAAACAATTTTATGCTCATATTTTACCCATCAAACTATGTATTGCATTACAACTTTAGTAAACATGCATGGGATGGACGAAAACAAGCAAAAGAATTGAGAGGTCGTTGATTCATTTCGGTGAAGAAGCTTCGACATTTCGTAGTTTGGAGTTATCTGCAAGAAAATAAGGATTAATTAAATAATATGTATTGGAATAATTTTTGCTTGAAATGAAAGCCACGTGTAGAACAGTCAAAAGGTCGTGTTCCCTTGGGGGGTATGTGGATGTCCGTTGAGTACGTTGTACGTAGGGTGGTGCAGTTGCAGAGAGAGAGAGAGAGAGAGATCTTGTATGGTCCCAAAACTGACTTTTATGTTGAAACGTGAATGGGTTGTGGTTTACCTTGTGGCTTTTACCTTCCATGAAAGGACCAAGTTTTAGAATTTTTTTAATGATCCATTTGATATTATGCTTTTAGCAACTTAATTACTTCACCGAAGTGAACATCATTGGTTTAGGATTCCCAAAGTATTGTCTCCTAGACAGTCACTTTTGTCCCTAAAATCTTCCGGTGGAATGTATCTTTGAAGCGACAAACAATCAATATAGCATTGTGTGTTTCTCTGAACCAAAATTCTAAACTAATCTCCTCTCATCCTCGTATCTTTGTCCTTGTCGTCCAACATATCTAAACTAAACATAGCTAACTCCTTTGATCACCTGAGCTTCCAAGGAATTCATATTCTCCGAATACAGGAGTACCGTAGCTTTTGAGTCAGTTACAATGTATATAGATAAGATATTTGACATACTCACATGATCTATTAGAACGAAATCCAAGATCTGACTACCATATCTATTTAGCATGATGACCTACGAGAATTAGTCATAATTATCCTATGTATGATACAACGAGCTAGGACAACTATAAATATCTCTCAATCATTGCTTTCTCATTAATTTCTATCATCTCTCCTTATACTCTTATATCTCTTATAGAGAAATATCGATCAATGGTCGTTATTTTATTGATCATGATTTTTTGTCCAAAATAAAAGAATGAACCGTCAACGACTTATGAGATAAACTTATTCTTATCAGTAAGGCGTTAATATGATGTTCATTGTAAATGCAGAACTTTATATTAACAAACTGACTAAGTTTATCCAAATTTGAACCCCTTCCACAAACCACAAAGAGAAAACATATAGATGCAATTACTTGAATTAGTTGCAGTTTAAGGCTGGTGAGAATTGAAAGCAAAACATATAGATGTAATTATTTGAACCCAAAACCTCTAAATAGAATAATATCACTCTTTATTACCGTCCAGGAAATTCAATAAGTTCAGAGATCCAAATGCTTTAAAAGAATCACTCTACAACTAATCATATTCTGCTCCCAACAAATGTTCTTAAAGTGCATTCTAGTGTAAAACTGCCAACGAAGGAATGCTTAGAAAGTCAAAGAAAATAAATGTATTTAAAGCACCGTTAGGTTACAAGGTTGTGCCAGTTGGATGCCTTTTATTATATGCTTAAGACTAAATTGGAATTTGGAACAATGAGCTCATAATTTGATTCCCAAGTAACAAACAAGATCATGTTGGCAGCTTCAGACTCTGAACCCACCATACTAGTAAAAAAAGCAATATGTGCGTTAATATCGACCAAAGAGGTTTTTTGTGGA